ATGTGGCGATGACGGAAAAAAAAAAGGAAAGACTGTTTCTCCCTTCTTCTCGCTGCCTCACAAATCTTTTCAGTCCCGTCCCTCAGTTATTCATCAACTCGCTGATCTCTCTCTCCGCTCTCTCCCACTGTTCTCCCTCTCTGTTCCCACTTATTCTCTTTCTCTTTCTTACTTATGCGCTCTCCCTTTCCTCTGCTCCACATACACTCACCGAACAATTCGCTGCATACTCTTCCGTCATTCTCGATGTTTCTTGTTCTTCTCTCCTTATCCAACTCAATACCTCTCCCTTTCAGCACGTAGGTTTAACCTATCACCGTTCAAAGAGGGTGATAGTGAATAAAATAAAATAAAATAAATAATAAATAAAAAGAAGGCGCCCACACGAACCGGTTTAGTCTTCCCTGTCCATACACCCTTACCTCTCGCCTGTTCCTTCATCTGATCAGTGTAGGGAACCACCTGTGGTGTCAGGGCTCGATTACTCAATCAGCGGGTACAAGGTATCTGTCCACCCCCTTTTTAGCACGGAAAAACCTGATTAATCAACTAGCAATAACGACGAGTCTCCCCCTCCTGCAGCGTGAAGGCTCGACTAGCCAATTAGTAACACTGATGTTTTTGACCCGCCTGTTGCAGGAAGGCTCGATTAATCATCCAGTGAATACGAAGTATCTAACTTGCCGGCAGAGAGAAAGCCTGGTTGGCCAATCAGCAAAAGTGTTGTCTCTATCTCGCCTGCGGCGGAAAAAGCTCGATTAGTCAATCCGCAGTTATCTCTGCCCCGCCGCCTGTGGTTGGCTGCTGCTCATCCTCAAAAGTTACGAACTCTTAGTCTAACTCTCTCTCTCGCAGTTTGATCAATCTCCTTCCCTCTCTTCCTCTTACTCCATCTGGGCTCTCTTTCTCCCACATTGTGTCTCCTTTCTCTGGCGAATTCACCTTTCGCGTCCCTCTTCAGTTTCACCAAGCTCGCATAGGAATAGGCAACTGACACTAGGCCCGCTGCACTCCCCTTTCCGTTCTCTTCATCTCCATTCCGCCTGTGTTTCAACCGAGTTGACGCAGGGGCAAGCGAGCATGCTTCCAACTGCCTGCAGCTTGTCGTACACACCTGGCTCATCCCCGTGTCCTCCGCACCTCCGCTCGCCAGCCCGAGCGTTCTGCATGCCTGGATTGGGCACACTTTGCATGCTACCGGAACTCCCCCGTCCAAATTTACTCAATAGGACCTTCCTCGAGCGTACGCCTCAGGTCCCGTGCCCGTCTGACATGCTACTCTCCCTAGTTGGATCGAACCGTGGTGAACAATTCCCAGCGGGCTGTGTACGTCTGGCGCGCACCCCCAGGACCCGTCTGTCTCGGACTGCGACTGAGGACCGAGTACACCCTGCGCATTGTCCCAACTCTCCTGCTTAAGCTCTCAACCGGGCTATCTATCCCCTCCGCGACTCACTCGAGAGGACTACGTACACGAGGCGCCCCGTCTCCCTCTCTCCAACTCACTACACTCGTCGTTCACGAGCGCTGAGGACGCTGCGCACGTCTCCCTCTGCTTCCACCCGAGCTTTCTTCCCGACTGAATCGTGGGCGGCGAACGCCTGGCACCCCAAAAGCCCAATTTGTCCCCTCTCCCCACGCTGGCACCGCCGATAACTGCTCCCACCTTAGAGGTCGTAGCCTTTCGAAAAAGACCATGACGTGAGACAAACACTGCCAAGCGGACGCGGTACCAAGGTGCAGAGCGAATTGTCGCAGGCTCGATCCAGACCCCACCACCGTACCAGGGAAAATGAGTTTAAAGATGCCGCTTTACCAAGTCCGCTCCGATCCAGCAGTAGCACCCGGCGAGGCCACTACGGACTGCAGCACAGCGAAATTAAGTTTGCGCCCAGTACTGGTAAAACCCCGCGGTACCAGCAGCGAAAACAGGACCCGAGTAATGAGAAAAGAAAAGAGTATGTATACCCACGTGCCATACTTGCACCAGCTCAACCCGTCGAGGCCTTTCCCAACTGGGGGGATTACCACCCTGTCGTTCTGAAGGCGCGACCATGCCACATCAGCGTCACGAATGTCAAAACTGTAGCCATGTTGAACCTGAACAGTCGTTTCGCACCAATCCGATCTTGAGATATTCGTACCATGCCAATGACGAGCCTGTATCGTGTCCCAAACCTGAAAACCAGTACCAAGATGTTGTACCATGTCGAGGCCGAACCTGCACAGCCACGGCGTGATCGTTCCGAACCTGTAAACAATGCAGAGGTGCGCACCGCTCCGGTACCGAACCAATACCGTATCAAAGCCGTACCTGAATAGCCTGCACCATTCCGGTGCCGAACCTGTCCTGATCCTGAAAACTAGAGACAGGCTGCTGTATCATGCCGATGCCGAACCGTGGAGCCATGTCGTGATTGTTCCGAACCTGCCCCGAACCAGATTGTTGTGCCCGAATCGAACCAACTGCCACGCTGATACAATGAAGTCGAGCGGTACAATCGAGTAACCTGGTGGCGAGACCACGACGTCCTTCCATCCCGTACTCATAACACACAAATTTGGGGGAGGCCAGAAATCAAGGAAATCGGGTAAGTCGCACAGGCAAATCTCAATCGTCAGAAAGTAAAGAGAATCGTCGGAAGATGAATAGGTAAATAACCCGGGTCGAAGTCAGCCGCGAATAATTAATTCAAAATTTAGCTATATAATAAACAATCGTTAATTCCTTCGCCCTTTTGTTATTTTAGTTATTTTTCTTATTTCTTAATTCTATATCATAAATAATAAAATGAAAAAGGATCCTCATCAAAAGGGATTCTTAACGGAATTCAATAAAACATCAAATTCTTTTGTTTTCTCCTTATTCTCATTGCTTCGATCCTTTCTCTTGTTTTTATTTCTATTGCCGGAAACATCAAATATTGAGGGCGACTCNTCAAATTCTTTTGTTTTCTCCTTATTCTCATTGCTTCGATCCTTTCTCTTGTTTTTATTTCTATTGCCGGAAACATCAAATATTGAGGGCGACTCCAAAAATTTAAATCATGATGATTTTAAATAAATTCACGAATATTTCATTTTTCACCCCTTTTTTGTTGTTTTTAATTCTTTTTCCCATTTTTAATTTCAATATTAAATTCAATTAAATGTGGGGCTCTGTCCTCGCGTCCGTTGGACAACGTAAAAGGGTCTTGCCAAAGCCCACTCTCAACCCATCGTCCCGCCTGCTTGTCGCTCTGGGAATGGGCCCGGAGTTGGTGGAAAAGAGGTAAACCTCAGCGCGGTGGAAAAGGTAGCCCCTCTCGTCTATTTCGAGGGCTGGTCCTGATGGTCGACACATCCGAAATTAGGGGTGATCTGACTACCCCTAATTTCTCCCAGTCGGTCAGACAAAACTCCCGGTCGATTGCCCCTCAGACTACTTTCCTATAGGTCAATCTCGCGGTATTAGGGCGACGGACTAGCCTTCGGTCGCCCGACAAACAAGCCCGGACCTCCTCTCGACGCCCCCGTCGAGCCCGCTCGCCAAGATTAGACAAAACGCACCACATCTAAGTGGACCCCTCGCGCTCGACGCAAGTGCCTCCTCTTCCCTGTCTGGTGTTTGGGTTTCTCAAGAACTTTTGGGTTGAGAGGGTGTTTCTTCCCTTTCTTGTGTCGCTGTTGTTTGGACTTCGATACCGGAATATTTCGACGCTTCTTTCTTCGTTGAGGAGCTAGTATGACAGCAGTGGCACCCTTCCTAATGCGGACTCTTCTCTTAGGCCTTTGTAGAACAAAAACCCATTTCCTTTTCTTGCCCAGCGTTAGACCCTTCACTTTCCTGGTTTCTACTCTCTTCCTCTTCCTTGAACTCTCACCTACCTTGAACCGTCTTGGTGGTCCTCCGTCTACTATCTTAGCTTTACCCTTTCTTCTAGGATCTAATGCTCTCGGTGCAGGAGTAGGACTCTCCCTCGACCTAAACAGCTTCAGTCTAGCTCCTGCCACAGAATCCTTCCACTTTGACCCATCTAGCTCAGCAATCATGTAAGCTTCCCAGCTTAACGCACCAACTACACGATATGGCCCCATCCATCGGTTAGCCAATTTCCCAGTCCATGTTTTTTCCAAAGCGGCGGCGTAGAGGAGCACCATATCGTCAACCTTGATCTTTTACTTTCTGATTATGACGTCTTTGTCCCATCTTGCTTTACTTTTTTCTCTTTCGACCGCCTGTCGATTAGCTGCAGTCATGAGGTTATCCTCCAATCCGTATGCTATCTGTCTCGTCCTAGTGGTTAGGAGCTCCTCCCGTGTCATACTATCCGCCCAATTAACCGTAGTCCAACTATCGACGTGGAATTTTATAGGCAAGAGGACAGTGACTCCCAAACCAAAGCGTGTAAGGGGGGTACCCAGTGTTGGCTCAGACAGTGACATTGTCAGCCCATATTGCATACCTGAAATACTTCGGTCAGTCGCTATCCTTCCCTCTACACCACTTCGATAGCGATGCTATCAATGACTGGTGGCCCCGCTCCACAGGCGCATTTGGCTGCGGGTGATAGGCAATAGCTATAGACACTCTAGCTCCTGCTTTCTTGAACACACTCTGTACCTCAACTACTAGGAACTCCGCTCCTCTATCCATCACAATTTTACTGACACACCCATGTCTAGACAGATACTCCAGGACGAAGTTCTTGACTTCTCTCGCGGCCTTTATTCTAATGGGCTTGCCATCGACAAATCCAGTCAAATCATCCCTGATGTTCACTACATAGTTCATATTCCCTACGCCTTTCAGCATCTTCACCAGATCAATGTGTACTTTCTCTCCTGGTCTAGTGGGATAAGAAGGATGAAGTGGCTCCTTATATCTGATAAGGGATCTCTTCTGGCAGTCCTCACAAGTTTCGCAATACTTTTCAACGTCCTTGTATTGTCCTTCCCACCAATATGGTCTGTCGACCTTCTCGTGTCCTCCGACTACTCCGTCATGTAACTTGGCTACTATGGACTGTTTCTCCTCTGGGTCACAAATCACCCGAAGAGGCATTCCTGCCCCCACAGGTCGTCGGAACAAATGCCTAGCTCTAAGGCAATATTGCGCTGCCTGTCTCCGAATCTCCGAATCGGGGCTCTCCTCCCCCGACAGATGCAGCCCTATAGTGCGGTACTTACCTTCATAGAGGTTGACTAGGAAATGATCCGTTCGTCTAGGCTCGACCATAGTTAGTGCAGCAACCGATATCGGTCGCTTCGCCTCAATGGGAATTCGTGAAAGTCCGTCGGCTACAGCGTTCTTAGTCCCTGAGATCCTCTCTACATTAGAGTCATAAAGTCGAATCCTGATCAACCATCGTGCAATTGTAGGATCCGTCAAACTGAAATCCTTCTGTAGGACTGATGCTACAGCTGTGGGGTTTACCCTGAGAACGAATCGTCTGTCGTATATGTAATGCTTAAAGGTATCTAAGCACCGTAGAACAACCAACACTTCCTTCTTAAACTGACTGTAGTTACGTTCTGGAGTGTTAAGCGTTCGGCTCTCGAACCTCAATGGCCTTTCTTTGCCTTCTGCATCCTTTTGAGAAAGCAATCCCCCAACCGAACACGGCCCAACATCCGTAAACACTACGAACGGTCTGTCTGTCTCGTCCTCAAAGAATGACACACCTTGAATTCGGCCGCCTTCTTTAGACATGACAAGCATCCGTAAATTCTTCTTTGAGGGATTGCACTGCAAGCTCTTGAGAAGAATCCCCATAGAACTTCTCGGTCTTCCTAAGAAGAGTGCGCAGAGGCTCTGCTTTTTTCGCATATCCACGTATGAAAATCCACCAATAACCCACAACTCCTAGAAATTGACGAACTTCAGTTGCACTGTGTAAAGGAGTCGGCTAGTTCAACATTTTCTCCAGCTTTCCAAGGTCGGGTCGTCGGCCTTTCGCGTCGCATATAAACCCTACAATGTTAATCGTCGATACGGCCCATCGACTCTTTGTCCCGCAAACCGTCAGACGCTCTGAAATCTCCTGACACGAGGGGCGACTTCCGTTTCGTTTTTCACCACTGGTCCTTTTATCGGAAAGTCGTCCAGAAAAACTACTTTATCAGGGATAAAATCTTTCAGAACCGCAACCATGACCCTCTGAAAGACCGCTACCCCATTGGTCCATCCCATCAGAACGACCATCATCTGCACCAATCCGAGCGGCGTGTGCATGGCTGTGAGATGCCTATCTCTCGGATCTAGTGTTATTTCGTCATATCCTGAAAATAAATCGCAGACAGAATAAATGGATCTGCCAGCCGCTCCTTCTGTTAATAGATCAGCGTGCGGCATGGAGCCTACATCCCGAATCGTCACAGCGTTAACCTTCTGAAGGTCTTGAATCCACCGAATCTTTCCATTAGGCTTCCTAAAAAAGAACCATCTATTTGCGTACGCGCTATCACATGGCTCAGCTACGTGCGATGCCATCTTTTCTTTGCGAAAGAAGATCACATCTTCCTTCTTTTTCTGAGCAAACTTCCACCCTGCGTCATTTCATGGTGTATGCGGAATCGTGTAGATCCTTGCATGCTTAGCATACCTAGGATCAATCCTGCCTCTTTCCGCATCACTGAATGCTATAGCTTTGTCGCAGGACTTAAGGACTTCCAAGACTCGTGCCTTCCCCGGGTCAGTCAGATTCCCATCGCCTATGTCCATCTCCGCTATCCTCTTTTCTGTAAGCCGTTGCGGCTCCTTTCTCTTCTTTTCTTTGATCTYTCTAGCGATATCTTCCTCAGATACTCCATCTAACGCTGATCGCTCTCGAGCTACGGCCGCCGGCTTAACCTTCTGAGCTACTGTCTTGGGTGTTTTTGGTCGCCCCCCATAGGGGGCTGCGCCCTTAAAAAAGACACAGATATCATCCCTCCGAATTCCTCTTCTTCAGCTTTGGGATAAGAGTTCCCTCCCACATGGACACGAGTGCCTAAATCCTCGACTTCCACTATCCGACCTTCTTCTTTTGTAAGCAGGGGTCCATACTTCTTTTCACGAAAGCTCAGGGAGCGACTCGCAAGGGGAACCGGTACGAGGCCCCCTGCAGCGAGAACCGCTCTATTCCTCGGGTCACGAGGCTCTACCGTCTCCATCATAATCCGCCCACCATCGGGACGCTTGATGGAAAGCATTTGGCTTCCATCCGGCCGTTCTATAGTAACGGCATGGACGTGACTTAGCCATGTCCGCCCCAATAATAACTCTGCGCTGCAATCCCGAACTGCGAAAACAGACATCATCACTCTCAGCCCTTCGACCTCAATCGCAGCCTTGTGGCAAACCCTGGTGACCTTCTCCTTTCTTCCATCCGCGGTCTCTATCTCAAATTTGAACGACTTATCAAGGTCTTATCCCAACCGGATTGCCCGGTCCTCATCTATGATAACAGCCTCACTGCCGTTATCAATCACCGCATGAAGAACTATCTCGTCATTGAGGGTAGTCTGTACTGTCCCACTGCCCAGGATATAAAATTTGTCAGGAGGCACTCCCTCTATCCCATCTAAGAACACCGTTGCAGCACGATCTGCCTTAGCGACCACACTAGATACCGCTACTGTGGGTATCTCCTCCTGTTTGGTTGCCATCTGGACTTCGTCGCTCAGAGGAATACGCGTTTTGTGCATAATCATCTGCAGCTCATCCTGCGCTGGTCTCGAGACCGCCAAATACTCTAGGATCGTGCACTGCATAGGGGAAAGTATAACTTCTTCCAAGAGGTTCGACCGTGTCTATGTCATCGAGAGTGCTCTTCATCGTGAATTTTCTGGACCCACGTTTGCGTGGGACGTTTGCGTGGGGAAAGTATAACTTCTTCTCCTTCCATCCTCTGCCCGTCCTTCATTGCCATCACGTAGTCAGTGTCAGCCTTCTTCGAGGAGGAAGGACTAGAGGACTTAGTAGCCGTCACTCGTATGGGTGTCATGGGGGCGTCCTCTTCAGAAGGCAGACTCAGCCTCACACTCTGGGTTTTTGCGACTCCCTTACCCTTGTTCAGTACTACTCGCCTAGCTTCCACGTTCTCCTTCATTGAAGGAAACATCGATACATCTCCGAGGTTATCCGCCCACTTGACGTACTTGCGATCATCAAGTACGACAAGTCCCTCATCTATCGCCCGTTTGAGGTCAGGGCAGTCTCTCTTGAGGTGATCGTCTCCCCTGCAATAGATACAGGAGTTMCTAGGTGTAGGGGGTCGTTCCTYCRCGGACTTAATTGTCGGTCGTCTCACATCCTGGTTGGATGGCCCAGGGGATCTGGGGTAGTTTGGGGACTTGGGATATCCTGGCGACGCAGGATATCCTCCTCTCTCATACTGTCCCCGTGACTCTTCTCTACGATCGCCACCTCTCTCTGTCCGCTCGTAACCGCGTCGATATCCATCTCGGCGGTCCCTATCCGACTCCCATCGTCCTCCGGAGTCCTCTCTATCCCTCGAGTTCAAGTTGTCCGGGCTCCGGTACCCTTCGGCATTCCCACCGTATCTGGGACTGCGCGGATACTGGTCTCTGGGACTGCGCGGATACTGGTCGGGTCTGTCTCCTCGACTGTAGGAATCTCCCCCTCGATACCCATCACGCCGCCGGTCTCTGTCTATACTATCATCCCTGCGCCTCCGCTCATCATCCTCTCTACTCCTCCGATCATCCTCATCTCTGCGCCTTCGATCCTCCTCATCCCTACGTCTACGATCTTCTTCATCTCTACGTCGTCGCTCATCTTCATCTCTTTCCCTCACGCGGTAATCAACCAGTGTGCGAGGGTTACGGTCTTCGACACTCCTCCATGGGTCGGTGTTCCGACGATCCCATCGCAGAGAGTAGGGGGATCCAGGCTTGTCCCGCTACGTAGTTCCAACCTTCGTTTCGAAATTTGTCATTTGCTTGGCCATTTCCTTCATCTTTGCTTGCATCTCCTCTATTACTGCGTCGTTATCCCCTGACCGATAGGATTTGTCCCAGTCCATCAAATATTGTCATTCTGCCCAAGGTTTGTCGTTGAAATCGGGGCACCCATCAGTCCCGTACTCCTTGTAAAAAGAATAATCTTCGCGCTGCATGCCTCTCCAGAGCAAATCCTTATAGTCATCGGCTTCCGCTTTCATGGCCAGCTTAAGTAACGCGGTGAATTCCAACTTATCGTGAGGCATCTCCCTCAGTACCGCCTTTCGCTTCCCCCTTGGTAGTTTATTGATAAAGATCGTGCATCTTTCTCCTTCCGATAACTTTCCTCTTTTCATAAGGGCACCGGATACCTTCTGAAAACGCATACCAAATGCTTGGACACTCTCGCCCTCTCTCGGAGTCAACGCCCTTAAATCCTGGATCGAAAACTTGACGTATTCTAACTTGAAAAACTCATAAAGGCTGCTCTTGTGCGTAGCCCACCTCCTGTCCCTTGGTCGGGCTTCCTTTATAACCCGGCTCAAACTTGGGTCTGCGTTAAACAAAAAGTTATCTATAATCTCGCCCTCAGTCCACTGACTTCGATAGGCATGCAACTCCCACTTCTCAAGGTATTCAGTGATACCGCATCCCAAAAAAACGGGAGGCCTGAAATCTAATTCGGAAGGCTGATGCGAGATGATGACTCTATCCCTCGCCTCATATGGCAGGGGGTGCGATTCCCCCGTCTCAGGATAAAAAATCTGTCTGGCCATGGCAACTCTGTCTCTATCTCTCCAAAGTTGTTCTCTGATAAATTGGTCCCTCCAGTCTTCACCCCCTAGATAGGCTCTATCTTCTCAACGCTCGTATATAGACGGGCGTTGAATAAATGATTCACGCTGAAAGTTTGGCGGCTCGGTCTGAATCTCCACCCGCTCTATCGGAGCGACCCTGTTTGGCTCAGTGACGACTGGAGGCGCCATCACCTCAGGCTCGCCGTCGTCCGGCTGCTCTACACACCTCAAAGGGGCATCCTGTCGAAGACGCTCTTTGAGATCTCGTAGAGCGCGGTCCGACGATGCTCGATATACAGGTTGCTCCTCGTCTGGATGCGGTCCTATCGTGTCAGATTCCATATACTGGCTTCCACTCCTGGTTGAATTTATAAGCAGCTCAGGCCTGATTGCTGAACCAGCAGCCTGGACCTGATGTCAGAACTGGCAGCCCGGTCCTAATGTAAAAACCAGCAGCCCGGACCTAATGTCAGAACCAGCAGCCCAGACCTAATATCAGCACTGGCAGCCCTGACCTAGAGTCAGAACCGGCAGCCCGGACCTAGAGTCAGAACCGGCAGCCCGGACCTAGTGGCCGAACTCAATCATTCATCTCCGACCGCTCTCAGAATCACAGAAAGTCTCCCGGTCTCGTCTCGTATCTCATGCTCACCCTCGATGCCTAAGATACCCGAATCAAAATAAAATTCTCCTTCTCCCTCTCCTATGCAACGCACACCTCTCCATATCTCCGGTACTCCTGTCTCTAGTATCCTTACCCTTCTACAAATCCCTGTCGCGACCCTCATCAACTCTCCCGGTGCACAAGAACGCAAACTCTCTCGTAGGTCGACTGATGTCCTCTTACGCTAGATCACTCAACCCTCGATGTGCGACGTGAGCTCGTGCGAGCGGGTAATCACCCCCTACGGCCATCAAACTTAAAGTATCGAAGCGCTAAGCGAACCACTGCCTCATTGCTCCTCCCTCGAACCACCTGACGCGGTACAGGAGGTCTGGGCAACCCCTGGAAGAGCGTTATCTGGGTATCCCATATTACCTCCTTACCTAGAGCTTGGAACTTATCTCGCTCACTCTCAAGCACTTCTTCCGCACGCTCCCAGCACCGGTCGTAAATCAAATCGCTTTCTTGCTCTGATGGGAGGTAAATCCTAACATCGTACACCTCAACGGCTAGGAACCGAACAGTAATAATGTAAAGGCGTATCAATTCTCAT